ATTGGCCTTCAAATTCTTAGCCCAATGCTCTTTCTACTTAATCAGACATCTATAAGGTTTCCAGTCCTAGATTATATTCTGGACTCTGTCCCTTACTATTTTTGCTATTCTGAATGTGCCTGTTTCCTTATTTGTAAAGTACTTGTTTTAATAGTTTTGAGGAAAGCATTTTGTGCACTGCAAAATAAACTTTTGTTGAATTGTATTAATTTAAAGCACTGTGCAAAACTGAATTATTATTATTATCATTATTGTTATTATTCAGGTTTTTATCTTATGCAGGAGTTTAGATAGATACAGTCCTGGAACGAGTTGGTGTCCTGCTGTTCTTTTATGATTGATGTTTGGCAGACTCTTGTGCAAGTTCCTGGCACATTGTAGCTTAATAAATACTGATTTATTGATAGGATAAAATTATTGCTTTTTGTAGTTGAATAAAAATATTGGGATGTAAGCTCATCTTCATCCTCATTTTAGAAACATTTTTCTTCTCATTTCTTTAATGGAGTTCAGATAGATTTGGTCCCAGGACAAGTTGATATCCTGCTATTATTCTTTTATATTTACTGTTCTGCAGGCTGTTGAATAGATGAATAAAAAGCTTGCTTGCTTTAGTTGAATGAAAGCATTTGGATGCATGCTCATCTTCAACACAAGTTCAGTAGCAGACAGAGGCAGAGTAAAATTCCAGAGACAGCTAAGTGTATGAAGCCTCGACCTGGAGTTAGGAAGACCTGAGTTCAAATTCTGCTTCAGATATTTACTAGCTATGTGACTTGGGGCAGAGACTCCATAGAAGAAATGAAACTCATGTTATCCCCATCATTCTGTCTAGAAAGAAAAAAGGAAATAAACATTTATTAAAGTACTCACTATATATTGGATGTTATCATAAGCCCTTTACAAATATTGTCTCATTTAATCATCATAACAACCCTGAAAGACAGGTGCTATTATCATACCCATGAGGTCAGTTTTTTCAATTGTATCTCTGCACTTTGAAATCTTTTTGCTCCTTATATTTTGGAGATTTCAAGCATTTGGCATGGCTACATCTATTAAAAACATTTTTCTTACTTACAATTATAGGCAACAGTTCAATCCATGATAATTCAACTCCACTACAGTTTTTCATTTGAATTCTCAAGGATATTTTAAGTATTATATTTGTGTTATAGGAATTTGTTATTCTTTAACCCATGAAAGATAGTTTCTAATATGTCATTCTAGTGGCCAGGTCATGTCTTTCTAGGAGGTCTTGAGTAAGTAATAAATTTTTTCCAGTCTGCGCTGTCGTATTGCGAAGATTCTACCATTTCCTTTCATAATCGACATTGACCACTAAGTCTGGACTCCTTAAAGATAACCTGTCTGTAATTGCTTATACCTATGATCCAGTCTGCTTTGTTCTCATAAACCTTTCCTTTTGCATAAACAAATCCAATTCAGCCATTTCTTTGGTCTTTCTCTGTCAATATATTTTCGGCTGATTCCATGCAGATGTTGTCCATTGAGGGCCTTTTGATCCCAGTCCTGGATCTCAAACACATCATAGGTTCTGGGGGTGAATTTTTTTAGCTCTTTATGACAAATCCAATGGCTTATACCTGATACTAATCTTCACTGTTGCTTAATGAGGTGAAGTCTGATTATTCCAAAAATATTTTTGTAGATTTTTGACATGGTTATCATGTGTTCCAAAGACGTATTCCATCCTAGTTCCTCATTTTTCACAAGGAGGTATCTCTCCTTCTATAGGTGCCTTAGGGTGATGGATCCTGTCTCTCATTAATATTGTGCATATCTTTGTTAGAATAGATTCCAAATATTTCATAGTCCATTCTTTGGCTCTAAAAAAATGTATCATGGTTGGTATTGCACACAGTAGGTGTTAAATCCTTTAAATATGTTGTCCCTATTTAGCTCTGACTTTAAGATGCCATGAAGTATCTTGATAGCTTGATACTCAGTGTGTCTTTCCTGGAGGAGACCGTGGCATTTTTGTATCACCTTCATCTACTGGTTCAATCTGTCCTCTGAAGTCAAGCTCAAAGCCTTCCAGCTCTATATTTCCTTGGCATACATTAAGAACTTTACAGTTATGGAGTCAAAATGACATTTTAATATAATTGGAGACAGATTCCATGAAATGAAGGAGCTGTTTAATGTGTTTTTCAGTGAACCCATATAGCTCGATGGCATCCGTGTACATCAAGTGGTTAATAAGATATTGTGCTTTGACATCCTCTTTAATTTTGAAGCCATTTGGAATTTCTATTTAGAAGAAATGATAATAGATTTTAGGCAAGGCAGAATAGTAACAGACTTAAACTGTTAACTCTGAAATAGACCATATTCTGCGTCAATTATTCTTGACATTATTGTGTGGGTGGCATGTTTATAATAGAGAACAGTTTTCTGTGATGGACAGCAAATACTTTAGTATTCTCGCTATACTTGAGTTCATTTTAAATATGCACCAGTTTCAATAGCCCTTCATAGACATTTTGGATGCTGTTCCTATATCTTTAAGAGGGGATGGAATCTTGGGGAGAAGTAGCTTGACTATAATCAGCAAGTATTTATTAAGTCAACCAGCCTTTGTTAAGTGCCTATTATGTGCCAGGATAAGCACTCCAAATATAAAGACAGGAAAAACAGTTTTTGTCTTTAAGGATCTTGTAATCTAATGGGAGAAACAACATGAAAACAATTATATACAAACAAGCTACATATATGTATATGTATGTATATGAAAATATATAGCACATATATATTTATTACAAATTGGAGATAATCTTAACGGGAAAGCAGTATGATTAAGGAGGACTGAGAGAGGCAAAAGGTGAAATTTTAGTTTAGCCTTGAAGGAAGCCAGGGAAGCCAGGACACAGAGACAGTGAGGGGGACACCCAGTGAAAATGCCAGTCAGGTGATGGAGTATCTTGTGTGAGGAACAGCAAGCAGGGAGTAAAAGTTTAAAAAAAAACTGGAAAGGTAGAAAGGGGCCAAATTATAAAGAATTTAAAAACCCAAACAGAGGATTTTATATTTAATCCTGGAGGCAATAGGGAGCCATTAGAATTTATTAAATAAGGGTGGCTGACCTGCTCAGACCTCCATTTTAGGAAGATCACTTTGATGGCTAAGTGGAGGAGTTGAGTGGACTTGATTTCAGGAAATAGTATAGAGGGAGAAGTGAGGAGGGCCCAGGACAAAGTCTTGGGGGATGCCATTAGTTGGTGGGCAAGACCTGGATGAAAATCCAGCAAAGGAAGACTGAGAAGTAGCCAGACTCATTAGGAAGTGAATCAGGAGAAATCAGCTTCAGGTAAACCTAGAGAGAAGAATGTATCAGGAGAAGAGGATAACTGAGAGTGTCAGAGGCTGCCAAAAAAAAAAAATCAAGAAGGATAAGGATTGAGAAGGGGCCATTAGATTGTGTAATTAATAAATTGTTGTTACCTGGAGAGATTTAATTGTTATATTGAGAGACAGTGTGTGAGGCACAGAAAGGAGTAAGAGAAATTCTTTCCAGAAAGTGTCATGGAGAAAGAATTTGGAAACATTTTGAAATAACTGTTTAAATCTCATTTTGTGAGAGACATGAATAGAATTCCTGAGGCTTAAATTGCCTTCCTGATAGACCTTGCTTCTTCTAGTTGAGGAGGAGTTAGTGGTCACACAGGTGAGAATATTTATTCTATTCTATGTTCTTTCTCCTGCTTTCGGAGAGGTGATTTCACGGGTGATTTGAGCTGGGAATTCAAGACCCTGTAATATATCGTAAGTAATTAGGTACGTCTTTGTTTTATTGCTACTGTAATAAATTATGACAGTAACACTGACAGAAATGTCAGTAATTGTATGACAATATAGTTGTCTAAGCCTATGAGATCATGGGTTTTGAGAGAGAAAAATTTTATAGTAAAACAAACAAACAAAAAAGCTTATAGGAAAAGTGTCTCCGTTCTGTTTCTAAACTCTTCACTCCTCTGTGAATCATGCTTGCTGGCATTTCCTCACTTTGCCATCTCCCACCTGCCTCCCGCATGGCATGGATTACGGGGTGAATTTGGAGCTGTTCTTGCTGTTGTTATTACCATCATCATTATTGTTAGAAAAAAATCTCATTCCACCTTGTCCTTTGGAGTTCAGATAGAAATGGTTCCATTATAAGTCATTATTCTTGCTGTTACTATTTTTCATTCTTAAAACACTGTGGATTCTTATATAAGTGTTTATGGTAACCTTTTTATGGTTGAAAAAAGTAACAGGATGTAAGCTCACCTTCTGTAGGTTTACTGTAAACATCCTTGGCACTAGAATTTTTCTTATTTATTTTTATTATACGAAAGTTCTTTAAATCTTTTGGAGAGGATTCAGCTGGCAACTAATAGACATTATCCTGGAACAAATAGTTATCTTACTATATTTTTATGTTTATTGTTCTACAAATTATTGAACAGGTAGATTTTTCAGAAGTCTTTTTATAGTTTTATAAAAACATTTGGATATAAACTTATCTTCTATAGGCTTATTGAAAGGCATTTCTTTATAGCTTCAAGAGTAGAGAGGAGATGGCATATACTTCATCCTATTTCCTCAAGATTTTGATTTCCTCTACAAGTTCCTTCCATATAGCGTGGTGATTAAGGATTTGTTATGGCTGCATAAATTTCAAATGTCATTGTTAAGATTTTTCTGGATCAATGTTAAGTCTGAGTGATTTAGGGCAACATTTCTGTCTGTGATGATGGTCTGGTTCCAGTTCAGTTTATTATTTTGTCATGATAATGAAGGTGACGATGAGGACAATGACGATTTCCATATCTTCTGTAATCTGTGTAGCAGATGTTAGCAATGGCCATATCTGCCGAGGTGAAGAAATTTGGGCTTTGCTTAAGACTCTTGAGAAGGCAGAGGCATGGCCTGCATGAGCAGTGATACTGGACTAAAACCCAGGTGGCTTAACTTACCCCTTTTCCTCCTCTTTGCAGGTTGGCCGTGGGTGCACCTCTCAGTCATGGGATTCCTATATTCCTACTCCCACGTGGGCATTGCCTGGGCTCAGACTTATGCCACAGACTAATACTACCTGCCTCCTATTCCTGCTCAGACCTCCATTTTAGGAAGATCACCTTGACATCTGAGTGGAATGTGGACTGGAGTGGGGAGAGGCTTAAGACAATGAAATCATTGGCATAAGAGGGCTCCCCATCATGATTTCGGACCTGAAGGATTACTCACTCAGGGGAACTCAGGAATTATCTTCTACATCACCTTCACTAGATTTGTCCAAGACATCTCCAGGGGAGCCCAACCTGGGGCTGAGAACTTGAAATCACACAGCATATTTACATACCAGAGGAATTTTATATTTAAAGAAAGCTAGAGTAAGAAGAAACATTTAGAGTCAGGGCTGTGCTAGAACCACTACAAATCAGGCCTTGACTTTTTGTTTTGTTGACTGTCTAGACTTAAGAAAGTGATGAAGAAACTGTTAATGATGCAGATTAAACTTAAGTGTGTCATGGATACTTTTCCCCCTCTGTGGAGCCCATTGTTAAATATTTACCAGCACATCACTGTTTATAGTTCATGTATGGGATCATAGGCTTTTGAGTTTAAAGAGACCTTAGAGATCATTTAATGATCCATCTCCTCCATTTTGCATATGAGGAATGTGAAGCCTAGAGAAATGAAGTGACTTTCCCAAGATCACACTTGTAGTAAGTGTCAGAGCTGGGATTCAAACCCAGGTCATTTGACACTACATTCGGTGCTCTTTCCACTACACCAAGAGGTTGTTCTTTGTTTAAAGTAGTGACACAAATATGTATATAAAATGAAAGCAAGAAAAAAAGAGAGAGGAGGAGGAGGAAAGGGAGGGGAGAGAGCATAGGATAGAAGCATTTCCTTTGCTTATTTGCTTATTAATTTTGTTCTGTTTTGTTAAATGCTAACATTTTCATGATTTTGTCCCTTATTTTGTGTTTTTATTGGTAGTAGTAATTGAGTTTAATATAAATTTATGTGTTTTGTTTTATTAAGTTCACAGTATTTTTAAAGGCAGCAACATTTACTGATGGGGGGAATAGGACATTCTACCATTCCAATGAGAACCTTGTTTCCTGGGTTTTAATTCATTCAGTGGACATTAAGTGCCCACCATAAGCATACATAGAATGTGGACCATGTCCACCTGAGGAAGACACAGTAGTAATGCTCACCCCAGGTTGTGTCAGCACACTTGGCCCACATTCTATGCACATCTTTGCTGCATACTGCATGCAAACACTGGGGGAGATTCAAAAAACAAATTAGGATTCAATGTGGTACCATGGAGTGAGATTTATAGACCAACAAAAGAATGTCTCACACACACACACACAGAGCAAATAAAAACCAGAAAACTCTGCTACATAGTCTGCCATGTCTATCAGAGAGGTACAAGGAAAGCATATATGACTATTTGGCAGGAATGTTGTAGAGAGAATTCTGGTTCTGGGCTAGGTTGGACTAGAAGACCTATCTAGTCCCTTCTAATTTCCTAATTCTAATATTCAGTGATTATACCAATAGAGCTGGAGGAAGGAGGAGAAGAGAGAGGGAAGTGGGGCAGGTATGCTCAACAGAACTTTCATCTATCTCTTATATTCTCTAGTTCTCTTCAAGGCTTAACTCAAGTGCTACCTCCTACAAAAAGCCTTCACTGATTCCTCTGCCTTGCCCCCCAGTGTTCTGTATATGTTATGTATTTACTTATCTGTATATATTTTGTTTCCTCCCAGTAGAATGTAAGCCCCCTGAGGGCAGAGACTATTTCCATTTTTGTCTTTTTGTTTTTAGTTCTAGACACATCACAGGTGTCTAATAAATGCCTTTGAGTTGAATTGAATTGAATCTACTGGCCAGTGTATTTCTGTAACATTTCAACCACATTTCAAGGAAGGATGCCTTCCCCATGTCTTGTTATGTATTCTTCAAAGCTGTCTTAAGTGCCCTGTGTTATCTATTTCTGCAACAGAGGATAAACAAAGCCAGTCATGCATTTCTGGCAAGATCCTCAGGACAGGGCAAAATAAAACTTTTTCCATGATATGCCAGGGGAAAGAGTTAATGCTTTTATTTTTTCCAATTTAATCATCACATATGATTCCTTATTTTGCAATCAAAGCTGGTTTCCCACTCCCTGGGTACAGAGGGCAACATGACAATCACTTAAATAGTATGTATTTCCATAACCAACATTAATAAACACTTCTGGACACCTTTAGGGAAAAGGCTTGTATTGTATTGGACGAATATATAGCCTCTGCCCAGTAATTTTCCTTACATTCTTCTGATTGCTTCACTCCTCTAGAGAAATCTTCAGTGGTTACTCCTTCCCCACCTCTGAACAAAATATAAACTCTGGTCCTGTCATTTCAGACTTTTCACAATATGGTTTCAACTACCTTTCTAGTTTTATATTGTATTATTCCCTTCTGCACACTCTACATTTCAGCCAAACTGGAATAACTCCCTGTTGCCCACTCTCCTGTCCTTTCTCCCATCTCTGCTCATGCCAATGCTAACACCCATTTCTGTTCCTCAGTGTCCTCTCCCTTCCTATACCTCTGACTCCTAAAGTCTCTCCCTTACTTTGAGCCCCAACCTTGTGTTTCTTTTTCTATGAAGCTTTACCCAAACAAGATGAAAAGTGACTTCTGCCTCTTCCAGTGTCTCCCAGTTCTTTGTCTGAACTTATCCCCCTTTTATCATAGCCACTTACATTTACATTTTTCCTATAATTCCAAATAGATTCAGGATCTCCTGGCAATAGAAAGGTTCTATGGTTGCTCCTGGTTGTGGGTGACATTGTGTTGATTGCATCCATCCCCAGAATACTATAGGGTCTCCTTGGTTATGTTTAATCACTTGAAAGAGGTCAGCCCAACCATCCACATTTTACAATATGCAGTTGGAGGATATCTAATTGAGTATATATATGCATATATACATATACATGTATATACATGTATATCTATGTATATGTATACACCTGTATATATATATATATATATATATATATATATATATATATATATATAAACACTGTCTCAATTGGTTTTACATTCATATATATATATATATATATATATATATATATGATATACACACACACAGAAAGATCATTCAATAGCTTATGTGTATATATATATATATATATATATATATATATTATATATATATATATATATATATATATATATGTATATGTCTTGGACTAATGATGCAGATAGACAGTGAGTTGGGTCCACAATTGAATAGAAGGAGGAGAGTGGGCTACATTGCCTCAAGGAAATTACACAATGCTTTCAGTGCTCTGAAACTGTTTGCTGCAATGAAGAATCCATATTCTGTTTTATCACTATTATTCTCCTGATGATGTTCTTTGACACAAAAATTGTCATCACATCATGATTTCAGAAAAATCACAATTTTAAGTAATCCAAAGTGAAACAGAAAGACTCATGATGGGCCTAAGTATGTCCCAGCAAATGATGGTTCATGCATGCGAAGTCTCATCTGATCCTCACAACGATCTTGTGAAGTAGGTGCTATTAGTATTATTATTCACATTATACATATGAGAAAACTGAGGCTGAGGTTAAATGACTGGTCCAGGGTCACTCAGTAAGTGTCTGAGCCAGGATTCTGATTTAGGTCTTCCTAACTCCTAGTCCAGGGCTCTATCCACTACACCACCTAGCTACCATTGATCTTAATGCTATTACTTTGTTCCTTAAAAAAAAAAAAAACACTCATTATCCCAGAGGGGAAACATATGCTCTAGGTTTTCCTTGTACACCCCTCTCTATCCTTCCATTTCTTGTCTTCCTCTTCTTTATTCTTCCTCCTCCTCCTCCTCCTCCTTCTTCTTCTGCTTCTTCTGCTTCTTCCCTCTCTTTCTCTTTTCAGAGAGATACACAGGTCAGGAATTAATTTCCTCTATTTTCTAGATGAAAACATAGAGACATGGAGCAATGACCTTTCTGAAGCCACAGAACCAGCTGCTTCTGAAATTCTGCCTTCTGACCAGTCTAAGGTACTTTCCAGCAAGTCATATCATGGTCCTAGATCCGTTTCTCCAACACCCCAATTTAAATAAATGCTTCTGGTTTATTCCATTGGTTCAATGCAGGTAAAAAAATCTATGCCATTAGCCAACTCTGGGGATGACGTTAGAGAGTGATAGGAATGTAAATCCTAAGTTCAAAGACTTGTCTTCCTGAGTTCAAATCCGGCCTTAGACACTTACTAGCTGTGTGACAATAGGCAAGTTACTTGACCCTGTTCTTATCTGTTTCCTCATCTGTAAAATGAACTGGAGAAGGAAATAGCAAACTGCTCCAGTATTGTTGCCAAGAAAACCTCAAATGGCGTCATGAAGAGCTGTACATTACTGAAAGACGACCCAACAACAACCACTTTTATATTGGTTTGCATGATTCTCTGGCTTGTTTTCATTATGTTCAAGTGTGTGCATGTGTATGTGTGTGTGTGTGATGTCCCTTTCTAAACGGAGAGCTTACCAAAGGCAGCCTCAGCCTGAAGTCATGAGGCCTGGGTCCTGGCTCCACTGCTCACTCCTTGTGTGACCTTAGGCAGGTCACTCACTTTCTTCAACACCTTGCTATCTCCATCAATAAAATGGCTGCAATAATCCCTTTCTTACTGACTCCAACAGCAATTGCATGCGTAAAGTAAGGCCAAAGATGTAAAGTAGTTTTGAAGTATTTTAAGTGCTGTGCTAATGTAAGTATTTCAGTGTATCTGGTTATATCATGGCCAGATCTTGCAGGTTCACACACAGATTTCCTGCAATGCAGTGAGAAATACGCCGCATTCATTTTTCTCCCTTACTTTGGAATGGGGGTTCTCAAACTTTTTTTGCATCATAGACCATTTGGCCTTTTTATGGAGACTGGATCCATTCTCAGACTATAGTATTTTTAAAACAATTTTTAAAGAACAATAGTATAGTTATAACAGCTAGCATTTATATAGCACTTTAAGTTTTGCAAAGCATTTTACAGATACCGTTTACTCACCTCAACATTGGGAGGTTAATACTATATAAACATGATACCCATATTTACAGATGAGAAAATTGAGCCAGGCAGAACCAAAATCACTTACTTATCCGGGATCATAGAGCCAGTGTTTGAGGCCAGACTTGAACTTAGGTCTTCTTGACTATCCACTGTACCATCTCACTGCCTATTTTTAAATAACTGAGGGAAACGCTACATTTCAGTTAGAGATTAGTAAAAATAAAGGTCTAATTTTTTCCCATCCAAGTTCACAGACTTCCTGAAATTTACCCACGAGACCTCT